TATATATATATATATATATATATACCAATTTTCATCTTGATTACTGTAAATATGATCACACAAGAGCCCACAATATACATTTTTGGGTTTGACCTTTGACCCCATAAAATCCTTGAAAACAAAAAAAGAAAAAAGAAAAAAAAGGAAGAAACTGTCTATGCATATTGGACCAGGTATAATCATATCAAATTTCAAGTCAAGCTGCCTATAAATGAAGGAATGGTAGTCAATTGAAAATCGTCTGGAAGAAGAAGAAACAATAGAAAAACAGTATGTCTCTCTGCAGATACATAATGAACAAAAACATTTAATGGATTTCTTTTAGTTGGCCATATTTCACATACCAAATTAATCAGTAATTGTACTCACAACCCTAAGAGAAAAAAAAATTAATATGTTCAAATAAACTGTTTGTTTGGATTCATATACAATTAAAAAAAAATTAGTTTCAAACTACAATATTTTAACTTTCTCTACCTAACTGGGGATGGTCTTAATAGGTTATTGTTCTTAGATGGCACAAACACAAGTACATGACAAGCAATGATAATTTAGGAATTTTTAATTTTGAAACCTTTCTCATGAAATGTGTAAATTGATTAGTCACAAAAAGTAAAATTAAAAAAATCTGTAAAATTCATAGACAGGAAGAAATGATTATGCTCTAATACAGAATTTTCGAAACTTAACTCCATCAGTCTAGGTATATTAATTTTTCCTGGTATAACAACATAAAAGTTTCAATTTCTTTAAAAAGATATTCATAAAAGATTGATGAAAATAAAGTGATAAAATACTACAAATGCTGCTCACTGAGCTTTTGTGTAACTGTTTAGACCAATCAAGATATCTTTTCCCACATGAAGATAAAATGGATTTTTTGTTGCTTGATACAAAAGATATGTGGACTCAATTAGTTCAGGTCGTAAGGGATAAAAAAAAAGGTCAGGTCTTATTCGCTGCCAGTTGAATCTCTCCGGTAATGCTCCAAACCTTCGCCAGATAGAGTAGTAGAGTGCATGTGAACATATTGCTTCCTCAATATCTCCATTCAAAACCTAAATAAAAGGACTCCATAAAGCAAAATCAAGATGGTTTAATTAACCAAGCCAACTTATTAAACACACAATTGTTTAGCTAAAATAATACAAAACTATACAATAATTTTAAAACTATATCTTGCTTATTGACATGTGATCGTTTCATTCAAATACTTAAAATATGATTATTTTTATGAAGTGAGAAAATAAATAATGTGACAACCAACAAAGGTTTTAAATTTTGGTTGCAGACTGATATACCTTCTCACTATTTAAAAACAGCTTATTAACTAGTACTGATACAATGACTATTTCAGAATTGACATACTTTTAAAAACACATGTTATACAAGAATTTCCAATACGCAGACAAATTTATGGAAATAACAATTAGTGAGAAATGACAAACGATTTTAAGATAAGCCTCAGATGAATTATTAAATTCATTATTTTGGATAAACCATTGCATAAACTTACAGAAACATTACTTAAATCTATGATTACTATATATACAGCAATACTTTAATTTTTCTCACATTGATGCAAATAAATGAACACATGGTTCTTTGATCAACTTGTCATATACACAAGACTTAAAAATGGGTCTTCCCTTCCAACCCATGGGGAATACAAATATCTAACAATAGCTATACAATTACTAGAGAAAGCTAGTGGTATTTATAAAACAAAACTTAAAATTAATACATCATGTAAGTTTAGAAAGCTCCTTCATTTAATCCCACAACCACATTGCAGTTAATCTTACCAGAATATACTATACAATTCCAGTAGTTAATGATAAATCATCTATGTTCAATAATATATATGTGTGTGTGTGTGTGTGTGTGTGATTGTGTGTGTGTGTGTATATATAACTGCTCTCAATCCTTATTACACTAAAAGTTCCTAAAATTACAGCATGTTAAAACTGTGCTTAATTTCCCAATTTTTAGACAAAGTTATTCTTATAAAATAATTATCAATTAACATCCTATTAACATTTTGCAGCCATAAAATTTTACTGAAAGAACTTCACTAATTATAAATAGCATGAAGAAAATTACTAAGTTTCAAAATCCTTAAAATATAAGAAAATCATATAAATACAGTGATTCAAAAGTACAATAAAAGTAGCCAAAACTAACCTGGATTCCAGTAAAAGCAGCTTGTAATGAATCAATCCAAACTGTGTGGGTTGCACCATCCATCATATTAACATTCACATACAAAGGGTGCTCCCCAATCCCTTGGTTACAGTGAGGACGCCTAATATAATTGAACATGCACAGCAGTTCATTAGTTTGCTTTTTAGATTTACAACATTATAAAAACTATGAATTAAAGAAACATTCTGACTTTTTTCCTGTAAAAATAACTATTTGTAGTGAGGTTTTGGCTAGATCTTCTGTCAGGCCATTATTGAGATCAGAGATCAAGAATCAGATACAAACAAAAAGAAGCCATAAATTAGTTCTAGAACAAAATCAAATCTGGAAAAAACTTTATCAAATAGTGTCTGGGTTGCCTTAATTTATATAACAAAACTAATACTGATTATAATACACCTCTTTTGCATCAAATTGACCTATATGAGGGATTATATTTTACTTTGAGTAAGTACATTAAAATAAATTAACCATGATCATACATACATGTATGTTGAAATTTAATAATATACAAATAAGTATGTGCGCTTTATTATATATACTGGGTGTTTTAAAAGTCACTTCTGCTATTCAGATTAGCGAGTTCAGGAAACTGATACATAGAATTTTGTGAAATTCAGTGTGAAGACCAATTTGACCAAGTAAAAGACAACATACACATTGCAGTGACTTGTTCCAAACTGCTTGGATATGACTTTGGATGAAAGCTTTCATACCTATAGGAGACATTTAGTGCCACCATGATGTCATAAAAAACACCCCTAACAAATTTATATGTTATCCATCATATGGTCAAACTCCTTTATACACAGAGTTTCACAATACTTTGTCCATTGACTTTCTGGTTTTATAATTGTGTGATTATCAATTCATACTTGATTTATATTGAATAAATAACTACCTGTTTTTACTATTGCTAGCTGACTACTTTAAAACCACTGGTTTTGGTTGAAACATAGATTACCTGAAAAATGTTCTAGCAGAGTTGAAAGCTCATCAAAATTATATTTTAATGTTAGAAAATATCTACTATAGTAGTTCCCTAATCTCTACATAACATTACAGCCTATACTCATGATACACGAGTACAGTACATTATCAACTGCAATTTTTAGCAGCACAAACTTGATGCTCTTCTCCTATTTTGAATTTTTCATTATTCAGAAGTGATATTTCTTTTAATAATTCTTTTTTTTTTTGGCTGTTTCATACTATTTAATGTTTCAACAATATTTTTTCAAACATAATAAATTCTTCAAAAAATCATTTGTAGAACTTTATCTTATATTCCTTTAACTGCTTTGCTAATATAAAGCAATGAAAGCAAGAGTTTCCACAAAAACCATGAAAATTTATTTCAAGTGAATGACTTTTTTTTTAATATAAAAAGTAGGAAGTTTTATCAATATCAGTTACTACTAAACTGACAGTAAAAATTTAAGTTTTGAAAAAAAAATTCGAAAGAGAAAAGGGTTTAAACAGGTACTATTTGTTTGTTTTTGAATTTCGCGCAAAACT